TTGTGCATTTGATAAACAAACTTTGATTTGATATTGTAGCCAAGAAAACAATTTATTTGATCATTATCTGACTTTCCCTTTCAAGCAGTGGAATCGAGCGCAGGGCACCCTCGTTCTTGTTTAATGATACATGGGAGTGTCCCCGTGGTTCAAACTGTGCTCACATGAGGTAACTGTAACATTTCAGTCTGAATACACCCCAGGGAAAAGTAAGTCTGCGCTTTTTGCACCATCGCACTTTGTCAGGAAAACTAAACCCGCAGTGCCAGCAAAGCCAGCGGTAGCCTGTAGGTGCTGTCATTGCACACTTGAACAGGTTGCTCATACACTGATGTGATCAATGCTATCTCAGGTAACACAGGAATGCACTTCCATGCATTAGTGAGTTCTAGATATTTTTCTGCTTGGTTTGAGCAAGTATTAAGGCAGCTTGTTTGAAGAATGGGAGGAATGGAAGTTTTCTGTATTCCGTTTTTTTAATTTATCTTGTGCATTGATTTTTTTTTCCAGTTTCACGTACAGTTAATGTTGAAATCGTAACTGAGTTTTAATGTTAGTTTTTAGATTTTGTACGATCTGAATTCTATTTTAGTTTCGTGTATGCTGACTGATAGTGGCCAAAGTTTGTAATTTATTTCTTGGGCTGTTTGGGTGGCCTTATAAGAAACTTTATCGGGTGGTCTATCAGAAGTGGAGAGAGTGGGTTGTTTCACTATCCTAATGCAGCTGGAGTTGTTTTTGTTGGCGTTGTCTTATTTGAATATAATAAATGTCTCATTCATGTTGGTGTCTTGCCCTTTAGTTGCTCCCAGCAGATAGAAGAACCTTTTCAAAAGATGGTTTTCCGAACATCAGAAAGACTACCAAAGCCAAAATTATCCTGCAGCTAGGTTCGCACCTTCCCCTGTCTCTTAACAACGGACTACTTTTCTTCTAAATTTTCTCCATTCATTGTAGGTTTCATTTCACACCTCTCTACACCTGTTCTGACATCACACCTCTTGATTGGCCTCTCTTTCTGTCCCCTGCTCCCGCCTCTCGTTCCTCCTCTCTCGCAGCCTTTGTTCTCCCACTTTATTACTGTACCTTAGCTTACTGCCCTGTCTTTCTCACACCCGAAGAGGGCTCCACGGCCGAAATGTTGTGTTTTCTTTCTTCTTTTTTTCCAGCATGGAATAAACCTATTACTTGTTCCTTTGCAGCCTACTCATGCTGACGCAGCTCCCCACCTGATAGAAGAACCTGATTGTTATAACAGGAGGTTCCAGCATCTCTATTTAGGGTTTTAGGTCTTTTCGGGTTGCAAATATCTCATTTAAAGATATGAAAAGGAAAAGAGGGGGAGGATGACCTCCAGGTCCAGGTAAGGAGCCAAAGGAATGCAGTGCCAACAAAGTGTCTTAATAGGGTGTTGGGCAACAGAAAGCCACCAGAACAGCTTTAATGAGCCCTGGCAGAGATTCTACAAGTGTCTTGAGCTCTACTGAAGGGATGCAACACCCTTCTTCCACGAGAAAGTTCCATCATGTGGTGTTCTGTTGATAGTGGTGGAAAGTGCCATCTCAGACTCCTCTCCAGTATCTTCTACAAGTGTTCAACTGGGTTGAGATCTGGTGACTGGGACAGCCATGACATATGTTCAATGTTCAATCACCTTTTCCCGTCTGAAGCACGAATGCACGAGTTAGACAAGACGTCGTTGTTTCTTGCGTTAAAGCGCATTTCACTTCTTGGAAATTTTGGGGATATTTACATTTAATCTGAAAATACTTTTCAAATACTGTAAGAACGCGAAAAGGAAAAAAGGTCCCATGAAAATGGAATAAGAAGAAATCAATTGATGCCAGATTTCTGCTTTCAACCTGGTTTGTTTGCGGGTGTGGATTTTCCTCATATACTGTACATCAAAATTCTTAAATTGCAATACAGTAACCCGCAATCGCCACTGCGATTTCCAAAATACGACCCACAACTGTGACCATGTCAGTACCATGATGAAAGAACAATTACTCTTCAAACCGTCTCTAAGCGTTTTAAAAACAACAATGCTGCCATTGTCTCTTGCAGACCACAGAATTATGGTGTTTAAAAAAGCACTCCATCTGTGCGTCCGTACTCGGATTACGCATATCACATTTGAACACGTTTAACGGCTTTTCTGAAGCATCTTTGACACTTTCGTTCTTGCTCCTGAGGTTAAGGGGCGTCTTTATCTGAAATGACAAGCCGATTAAACTTTTGTTAACTGAAAGAATAACGAATTCTTGTAGCGCAGTCTTAACTGGTAAACCTTTTCTTGAAGCCCCGTATAACCTCCACACTGATGCAGCTGCTATTGTATTGGCCCTTTACTTTCACTTGTCTGAATAATTTTAAAGAGGTTTTAAAATCTTTAGATTTCAAATAATGTAAAATTTGGAGATTACCGTGAAACTTAATATCGGTATGGCGTTATTATAAAAACAGTCAACAAGCGGCGACAACAAGCAATGCATAAAACAGATACAAATGACTCCTTGGCTAGACTTAAAGTTTACTCGTCGTTCAGCAGTTTGAATACGAATATTCGCCGTTTGCGACTCTGAATTATAGGCGTCTGATTTATCTATGGACAGAAGAAGACCATGTTGCAATATTATACATTGACCTTCGTCAAAATTACTTTGAAGAAGAAAAGTCACACTCGGGGACCTGAATAAACTGGACACTCATTCCGTGTTTAGGTTCCGTCTTATTGAAGATAAACTGATTCTCCTCAGTTTTTGAACATGTTTCGGTGAATATACAACTTCCTTGAATAACAAACATCTGTTTTCTAACCGCTTCTTCCATTCCAGTATCAAGTCACGGTGGAGCCCGAGTCTATCCCAGCAAGCAACGGGGGGCAAGGCAGGGTACCCATCAAAGGGCAGACACCCAGACGCGCATGCACTCACGCAAGAGTTAATTATCTCAGAACGTAATTAACCTTATAGTACGTGGTTGGACTGTTGGGAGGAAACTCATGCGAGCAGGGAAAGAGCGCACAAACCCCACGCAGATCTCACGCTAGGAATTGAATCCAGAGCCCCAACGCTATGAGACTCCAATGCTAACCACTGCGCCACTCTGCAGGCAAAGACGAAAAACGCAAATCAGAAATTGGTTACTACCTCATGACCTCTTTTTGCAAAGTTTTTAATTCGGAGTAAAAGAAGCAATATACATCGAATAATTCCAACCTCCACTTGTCGTCGCTGTTGTCACGGTGGGGGGTAGCATCGTCTTCGAGAGCAACACTATTATTCAATTCAATCTATACATTTTCCTCATAAAAGAACCCCCCTAGACTGAGTAGAATGTGTTGAAAGATAAAAAAAAACTATATATAACTGCTACAGCAAGACCTCCTTTTCTTGAACTGTGAATGAGAAAATCGAATACGACACTTTTTCGAAAAACTGCTTTAATCCCTTTGTCCAGTGACTATCAGTCTCGAGGACGTCTGATGATAATCCTCTATCCTAAGGGTTTTAAATAAAACCCTTTGCTATACTGATTTGCATGGAACAATTAAGCGCCACTGAATGGCAAATAATACTTGTTCACGGCCAGTTTTTCCATGGAAATTACTGTCATTTACCAACGAACAGTTTGGAGGTGATTTCATCACAGTTGGATGCGATTTCACAAACAGCCAACAGGTGTCACAATTGTGTCATTTTTTTCTCTAAAGAGAAGCGTGTTTTTTCCTACAGCAGCATCGCGCAGTAATGCGTTTCATTGATGATAAAAAACTATCCCCTTAAAAAACACTACCTTCTTATTTTTTTTAACTAAGACAATGGAATTGGAGAAAATGCATCTGAACCCCCTACTGCATAAGTCTGGAACTCTGGTCAATGTAGAGAGTGAATTCCGTTTTCAATTCCAGCTAAGCTCAGAGTGATATTATTGGATCAATCAGTGGAACTCACCTTGTTTAATTGACCACTTAAGACTGCCTATAAGACATTTATGATGGTAATTATCTTTCCAGAAGCTAATGACTTGCAGTGGCTCTGTGGCTAAGGATCTGCGCCTGTGGCTGGAAGGTTGCCGGTTTGTATCCTGCAGCTGGCAGAGGAATCCTATTCCGTTGGGCCTCTGAGTAAGGCCCTTAACCCCAAGTGCTCCAGGGACGCCGAATAAATGGCTGACCCTGCGCTCTGACCCCAAGCTTCTCTCTCCCTGTCTATGTAACTGTGTCTCATGGAAAGCAAGCTGGGGTATGCGAAAAGACAAATTCCTAATACAAGATATTGTTTTTGGCCAATAAAGTGATCGTATGTCTTACTTTACTAGAATGCCTTTGGACTGTAGGAGGAAATCCAGAGGAAACTCACATAAACATGGAAAGAACATACAATCTCCACACAGACTGCAGGAATTGAACCCAGGGCCCCAGCACTGTGAGGCAGCAGTGCTAACCACTATACCACCCTCGAAACCGTATGTATAGAATTCTCCTTGTCCATACCTGAAATCAGCACACATACCCAAACCCAAAGTCCCAGTGCCTCATTATATTCAAATTAAATTTAATACAATGCATACTGAAATAAATCAATAAGGGATGCAGACACTGTCAAATCCTGGTGCTGGAGACCAGATGTGTCTGCAAAGTTTCATTCCAATTTCATTAAATTCTTAAAAAGCTCATTCAGTCCAATATTGGCTCCAGTATCACAGTTTGGCATCTCAGATGCTGGTACTTTATAGAGACCCAGAAAATCTGCACACACCCTCTTCTTGAGATAGCTAGGTGTTTTGCAAGCAAGGTGTAATCAAAACTTTTTCTCCCAAGAGACTTTTCAAAGAGAGGCTTTTTGGCTCAGGAACTGTGGCTTGCAAACATGCAGGGAAAATGAGGTGTCAAAGCAAAGACAGAAATGGAAATGTCATTGTGAAATTTAACACGGGGATATAGATCAATGACAAATGTCAGCCTAACTCAGTGGCAATTTTGATTTTGGCTTTACTGAGACAACACATATTAGAATAACTTGAAGGGGAACTGCAACACTATTTTTGTATTTCGGAGTCAGAAAGATTCAGCTTTGATGAGTGCATTTCAAACACACAATGAAAGTAAAATTTACACAGTAAAGTGTTAAACCTTCAATTTCCATCACAAAATAGATTGTTTTCAGGTATGCACAGTGCCATGTTCTGCGATTCAGAACAAGGCAACAAAACTTTCGGTGAGGTGAAGCAGCCCTATTACACTGTGAACTGTGAGGCTTGTGAACACATTTTTTTTAATCCAATAGAAATATTGCTCTTGATTTCTAGATGGTTTTGCGGACAAATACTATTTACTTACTAAAGGACAAAGAGAGGCCAGGCTGAGAGACAGAAGCCATGTTGGGAGTCCTTGGACAGGAAAGAAAGAGAAGCCAGGCCTGTCGCCTCTGGAGACGGGAAACCAAACAGCTGTGTTTACAGCTGAATTCATATCAGCATGCTACATTAAGACCGGGATCAAAACAGAATCCTGTTTCCACACTAATACTAATAATACAACTCATATTATCTCTGTAGACAGTTGTGTATATCTGTACAAAGACTGCATGTTTCCAGATAAAGTTCAAAATTAGAGCTAAGTTAGTGGATAGAACAAAGTTAAACAATTAGGAGCACTAAATCATGTCCCTTTGCATATATTAAAACGGAAGATTAAAATAACAGAAGAGAAAGCAGAGTTCACCCAGACCAATATTTAGAACCCCACTTGCAGGCGTTTCTTTAGTCTGCTGTCATCCAAGGACCTGTCTAGAGCCCTCCTGCAACTTCAGACACTCGAACAAATAAGAAACAAAACTGATGACAGAGCGACAGTGCTTTAACTTCCTTCCTCTCCACCTGACTTCCTTCTGAATTGTTATGTGTTGCAGAGTTTCAGAGTGGCACCAAAGTAATAATAACAACCAGGAATGAAACTGTCTTGGGTTTTGGAGAGGCTACTAACCCACGTCTTTGAGCAACCACTCAGTGCAAATTCCTGAATTCCCTAGATTCCAGAAACACAGACTTTTTTCTGTGATATTTCTGGCCTTGATGCTATATGACCCGTATTCCATCTGACATTTTTGCAGTTATGTGCTTTCAATACAACCACATGAAACACGAGACTTGAGTGCCACTCTGTAAATCAATAATCAACACAGAAAACACAATGCACATCGGGCTATATCCTGTTTTTATTCAGCTTCCATTACGTCACCAGCTCACATTTGCTTCAGGGGTTCAGGATTATACAGCCGCACACATTACTTAGGACTGCTTATCTGTCTTATGATAAAAGCTGTGCAACATTATAGATTTTAAACGGTAATCACCTGGTGACCCATATACACTTGTTCTGAGGTTCATGAAGAAAAGAAACCAGTTGAAATGTCAGCTTGAGAACAAGCAGTTAGAATTTCTAAAGGCACAAGGTCTTAAAAACATAATCACCTGTATGAAGGCACTTTTCAGGAATGTGCTGCCTTAAAGAAAGTTGGTTGCCAAGTCCTGATTCATACTTCCTGCCTGGCTAGATTCAGCAGGTGAACTTGGCTTTGCTAAAGTCATGCCAGACGTGAAGCAGTTTGCTGGGCGTGTAGCCTGTGACTGTGACGAGCTGGGAGAAGATGCACCTCTCATAGGCCATGGACTGAATGTTGAACAAGCTGTGCCACCATGAGGAACGCCTGGGCAGGACTCCAAGCACCTGCAAGCACAAGCCCAGGTAGATGTCCTCCAGAGGAACGGGCCTGACAAACTTGGAAGCAGACAGCAGCTTTTTAGCCAGACCCACGGAGAAGACGTAACCCGTCCCAGAGACATAGGGCGGATAGGTATCTTCGGGATAGGCGTCCTCTGGCATGTACCACTTACTTTCCTTACTTCTGCGAGGCCTTCCGTCAGCAATGACCGCTCCTGTGATGAAGTCCTCCTTGGCAGGGACACTCCGAGTGTCCAGGACCTTGTTGACCAGGTAGTCCACGTTGAGGAACATGTCCGTGTCGATCTTCATGGCGTAGGAAGCCCCCGGGCAGTAGGTGGCCAGCCAGTCCAGGATCATCATGGTCTTGATGGTCAGGTTTCGGTAGCTGTCCAGGAAGTCCTTCTGGACAATGTCCCGGTGCTCTCGGCTCTCCTCCTCCAGTGCCACCTGGATCCGAGGGGCCTGGTCACCTTGGGGCAGCCCCACGTAGAAGATCCGCCCGATGATCACCCCTGGGATCAGGCCCTCTCGGCCCCAGGTCTTCCGGATGGCGTCTCTGGCTGCGCGATCAGTGGGAGCCACTGGGATCATGAGGATCAGGAAGGGGGACATGTCCCGGCACTTGTCCGGTTCGTTGAGGATATATCTGTACGTGGATGGAGAGATGACCTTATACAGCTTGGACTCCACAAGCTGCTGTCTCTGATGCTGCTCTCTGGGGAACCAAACCAGGTAGATCAAGAGGGAAAGCAATCCTGTAAAGAGCAAGCATCTTCCCCGTCTCCAGAGCCACACTCCCACCATGCTGATTTCACCGTTCTTTCTCCTTCAGCCCCATCCCTGCGGCTCACAAACTTCCTCAGAGGAGCGACGCCTCAGCCAGATGCCCTGCATGGAATTTCCTGGTTTCCTGTTTTTTTTTTCTCCAACCTTTCTGTGGGCATTGCACTCTGTAGCTCCGGCTGCTCTTCTAATTGTTTCTAAGCTACTTCTCTTTCCCGTGTTAGCTGAAGAGAAGCTCCTCCCTGAGCTTACAAGAAATTTGCACAGTCCCTCCCCCGCAGCACCTATGTTAAAGATCAACAAACTTGTTTCCTGAAGAACGGAGGGGGAGGACAAGCAATCTGATATCTTCATTCTTCACGTTTGACAATGATTCAATCAAGTAATCAGGAAACACCGGATCAGAAAGTAAAGCATTATAAACAAAATGGCTTTTACACAGAGAGCTTCCTTTTGGCTCTCTTTTTTCCCCTAAAATCCACAAAACAGTGCCAGTGGCATGGGCTGGTTAAACAGCAACTTTTGTTTGATCAGATACCAGCCTCTCCCTGTCCATAGTCCAGCACAAGCTGATAAGGAATGACTTGCAGACTTATTCTCCAGGTTTTCCTAATCAAGAGGTTCACTTCTTTAAACTGTTCACCCTGCACGACAGACAGGTTCCCCTGACCAGCCTACCCCTCTGGGCCGTTTGTCTTATTACAGCTTTCAGATGTTTCGAATATGTTTTCCACCTCACAAATACCCAAAATTGCCGTTTGTTGCATTTATTACCAAGGTACTTTACAGATTCTGGTAATTCTACATAATCAAAACATAGAGTTTGCTTTCAGATGGTGAAAAACTCATCTTCAGGCCCCTCAGTGCTTTCCAGTCGCTGTTCCGCCTCAACATCTGTAAAATCCACCGAATATTTTATGTCTCTGTATATACAGTTTTATTTGTTATCTCAGTAAGGCCAAAGGGAAATGTACACTGTATGAGGCCACTGAAGTGGATTCTGATTCTGAGAATGTGGCATTTGGGATGTCTCATCTCCGCACTGTTTTCTCAAACCAGATTTACCTGCTGTTACACCCTCCTTGTCCTAAACACAGCTGTAAAACGAGCTGGCCTATAATGAGCTCTGAGCTCAAGACTCTGGAATTCCTAAACTGCATTCCACATTGTAGAACTGTGTTATTACTCAGATCGCATGGAGACAGCAACAGGACAACACCCTTAACTGAATGAAAACAGGACGTAGAGGAAGGGTTTCAGAAATCAAACAAAGCTTTATTCCCGTGCTTACAGTCTGGGTAATTGGAGACTGCGCTGTTCTGCTTCCTATGGTCATATACGGGTTTTTCACACGAAGCCGTATTGAACAGTATTGTTCGCGTTGTGAACGTGTGCACACAGCGGTCCCCCGGGTTCCAGTTAGTACGTAATTACGCATCGATGAAAAACCGGAGGTTTAAAAAAAGATAATTAGTTCACTGATAGTTTGATGTAGAGGCTGAGGAAATTTCCACAAGTCGTGGTCTTTAAAATGCATTTGGTTTGAAGGCGTTCTGTGCTTCCATTGCGAAGATATGGATAAAAGAATATTCGAGCGTGGTAAAAAAAAATGACAAAAACGACAAAGTGAAGGCTGAGAAAGCATTCACAATGTATTTTATACACAAAGCAAGTGTTTTTGTAACTCTTAAGAGATTTCGCGAAAGCGCTACAGGCGTGCCAAAATCGTTTTCGAACTTCAAGCTAACTTTATCCCGGTATCATCGGCCGTATCCCAGTATGCGCACTTGCGGTTTTGCTCAAATCTGCAAGGGTTTAGGGTGCTTTATTTCTAATTCTGTGTTTTACAAGGGTGCTTGCGAGCCCTTAATAATACGCCCTTCTCTGATGTCCGCATCGGAGCGGACTCTAGAGGAAACTTCCCCCCATTCTTAGCGAAACGGGGACGTTTCATGTTCTAACCTATTAAAGCGGAGAAAAATTGCCGTGGGGGTATTAAATATTCTTGTTGAAATGAACTTTTTACAGTTTTTAAACCCATTGTATATCAAAACAAAACTTCATTAGGCTACTTAAGATTCATACTGTATGTATTATAGGTACGAAGTGTTGACATAAAGCTTTTATAGCGTTACCCCATTACGACTGATGTATATTCGTTTAGTAGACGTATTTAATAAATATGTGTACCATTAAAGCTTTGAGCTTTGAAGTATTGTCAAGATTACCTTTTTATATTTTACTTTATATGAACGTAAATAAATGCGTTTTGTTCCTCGTACTGTCATTTTTGTACTGGGACAGACGATATGAAATGCATTTAGTAGTACAAAGTTTTGAATACACAGCGGTATTGCCAAAGGTTTCCTTAATTTACTTTGCCCGTTTCGAGTCGAGCCTGCTCAACACGATGTGTCTCTACTTCTGTGCAGGGACAGGCGAGATAATAAAAATGGTGTCCCCCTGACCCTTTTTTTAACGGCGCGCCCTCGCATGCTCGAGCACTTGAAGTCCACACTGGCGCTGAGTCACAGAGGTGCGGGCTTGGAGGAAGGGTTTCGGGCTTAAGTAGGGCAATTGGGACAAGGCAACGACCTTTTAAGATGAAGTGCAGACCCCAACCCGCTTCTGCTGGATACAATTTTATCACCATTATAGCTTTTCAGTACACGTTCAATGGCGTAGATGGAGTGTCCAAGCAGGTATTCCACAGACGAAACATTTTGCCGCGTTGAGTGGAACAAAATAATTTCCTCAGGGTACCCCGCTACGTATTTTCCTTGGACAGTATGGATATCACCTGTATGTGGTGATGAAACAAGCCACAAAATTGCGTTCGCTTATCTGCCCATCTTAGACTCTTCGTTGCATTTGACACGCGCACTTCATGCAGAGAAAAAAAATGTCACCCTTTAATCAGCACCACCACTCGCCGACTCTTTTTATCCAATTATTCTTTGTCAAAAACATTTTTAGAACTGAATAGAACTCTGCTACTTTTGGAGGATGACTAAATACCACATGAATTACTGTCAGCTGTAGCTCAGTAAAACGTGAACTCTGCCAAAGATGAATAATGGTCAAAACCTTTACTGCTAAATCAGTGATTCAATAAAGGAAAAATTTCCCTTAGGTGGCAGCAGAGTACTATTACACATTACGTTTGTCTGCAGTTTCTCTGGTCATGATATTTTACAATTCTCGGAGCAGGGAACTCCTTTCCCTCTCAGTGCAGGGCTACAGTTCTGTCTCGCTTTACTAGCGGATTAAGCTGATGAGGCCTCAACTGATTATCTCTGACGTTTTCAGGTGCGCATGAATTATGTAGAGGCCCAGGCCATTAAGAAGCTAGTTGCAGCAGAAGTCATTGGACCAAGTTGTCATCTGGGATCAGGAATGTACAGTGGCCATCAAAAGTACTTATCATAGGACTTGTGCAATCAGTTATTTTCTGTTTTAAATTTATAATAACTGCAGCTATCGAAACTATTAATCCCCTTGGGCATTTCATATTTTATTGTTTCAAAATGGATGATTTGGGCTTTTAATTGCTATTGGTGAACACCCAACCATCTATAATGTCATAATGAAAACACAATTCTACAGATCCTCTTAGATTCATTATAAATATAAAATGGGAAATAGATGATTGCATACGTATTCACCCCTTTGTTATGACACACCTAAATACATTGTGGTGCAACCAAATGTCTTTGGAAGTCACATCTTTAGTTGTATGGAGTTTACCTGTGTGCAATTTCACCTTAATTAATGAGTTCAGGTTAAAAACATCTATATCTGGGAGATCCTACAACTGGTTTGTACAGCTCTCAGCAAAAATCACATAATGAAAACTGAGGAACATTCAAAGCAAATCTGGGATCAGGTAATTGAAGAGGAAGGGTATAGGAACATTTCCAAGGTATTAAATATTCCCCAAATTACAGTGAAGTCATTATAAACAAACAGGAAAAACAGGACATCCTAAAAAAATGAGTATCCAGGCGGGAAGAGCACCAGTAGGGTGTCCACTAAGAGGACAGTGATAACTCCAAAGGAATTGCAGTCTTCCATGGCTGAGGTGGGAGAAACTGCATACAACAAGAAGTCTGGGTGCTTCACAAATCTGGACTTCATGGAAGAGTGGCAGAATAAAATACCCACATTAGATCTTGACTGCCAGAGCCCAAGCAGAACCAGTATCTACGGTCTGATGAGACCAAAATGGATGTTTTTGGCCTTGACGCTAAGCTCTGTGTTTGGTGTACGCTTAACTGTGCACATCATCCTGTGAACACCATCATTACTGTGAAGCATGTTGCAGGCAGCAGCATGTCAACGAGATACTTCACTGCACCAGGGCCTGGAAGACTTGTGAAGATTGAAGGCAAAAAGATGCAACAAAGTCCAGAGAATTCCTGGAGGAAAACCAGCTACAGTCTGCAAGATACCTGGGATTAGGAAGAAAATTCAGCAGGACAATGACCCTAAATGTATAGCCGAAGCCACACTCCATCTGAGAATCTGCTAAAATCTAACTGGGTTGCTCTTTTGGAACGGTCCCCATCCAACTCAAGGGAGCTTGAGCAATTTTGGAAAGAATGGGCAAAAATGAGTGTCCAAATGTTCCAATTAGTTAGAAACATTGACGTTGTAGTATGTTTTGTGTTCATCAGTGGCAAATAATCCCAATTACATACTATACATTAAGATCCCATTTGTATTATAACTCCATGTGTAACAGTATACAATGAGAAAAAGTCCGGAGGGGTGAATACTTTTAATATCCACAGTAGCTTGTGGAATGCAGGCTGTGTAGCCAATGCATATAGAAATCCATGAGCTTTCCTCAGATCAGTTATTTCCTTAAAACATCCCTGCTCACTGACTATTTAATGCCATCTATCAAATGCTTAGAACTGTGGTCCCTCGTCACAAGAAAAAACATCAGATATTTTTAAATTTGATTAAAATCTGTCACAGCATACAATCATCTTGGCCAGGATTTTCCAACCCCTGGCCTGGAGGGCAAGTGTGTCTGCAGGTTTTCATTTTCTTATTGACCTCTTCAGCTTGTAATATATTGAACTAGACAACCCCCACCCCCCTCTTCAGGCCGAGCTATGTTAATGAGACCTTGAAGACCTGCAGATACACTGCCCATAATTCCTATGTCATGAAGGACAGCTCTGTACAGAAAATACCATGGCTCTGCAGGAGCAGGAGTGAGTGCTGGTATTTTTTTCTAACCATTTCCATCAAACTCGGGGTTCAATTCGGGGTTATGGGAGAACTGGTGCCTATCTCTGCCAGCAACGAGGTGCAAGGCAGGATACACCCTGGATGGAACACCAGTCCATTGCAGGGCAGACACACAGACACAAACACATACGTTCACTCCAGGGCCAATTTTCCCAGAAGCCAATTAACCTGCCAGTTTTTGGACTGTGGGAGGGAAATCGGAGGACCTGGAGGAAACAAAAAGCAAACATAGGGAGAACTTGCAAACTCCATGCAGACAGCACCACAGGAACTGCACTCAGGGCCCCAGCACTGCGAGGCACCAATGCTAACCACTGCATCACCATGCCACACACTTTTAATTATCAGAAATTAAATACTGAGTGGTCACATTAATAAGAATCTCTTTATATTA